GAATTCTATTACCCAAGTGTAAGCAGCTACTTGACCAAAAAGATGTTGTTTTACAATCATATCAATCAAAGCATCTTTTTTAATGCTAAATACTCGTGTAACTAAATCCGGTCTATCCGATGCAGTTTGTCCAGGTAATAAGTTCTCTGAAATTTCACGCCACTTCGGATTACATGTCATAGTAAGAAATAAGTCTGGTTTTCCAAATTGACGAACAATTGACATTGCATCTTGATAATGTTGTATCATATTTCGTGGTGAACCATAAAAACTGGACGGTAAAATAATAATTTTCCCGATATTTGAACTTGTATTATTACTGGTATTTTGCGATCGTAGATGATCTATTAAACCTTGATAAGATTCAGCTCGTAGTTTCTTTTGGTTAAATTTACAATAATTCAATCTGTCTTTCTCAATCTTGACGTAACTATCGACTACCCATTGTTGTGTTAAACGTCGTCCCATAAGAAAGATATTAAAATTATCTCTAATAGCCAATTTATATTTGTAATAATCCGCACGAGTCACTGTTCGATGGGTTTTGTATTGATAAGGTATTGATTTATGCCATCCTTGATTACCATATGGATAAAAAAGAGGATAAATCCAGGGTTCGGTATTAGGATCCATAGTGCTTAAAAATTGGAAAGATTTAGTTGTCTTATTTTGAACTGTAACATATGATTCAGGGATTTCACCATCAGCTGTAGTAGAAAAAACAGCAGCAACTTCATTAATCCTCTGAAAATTATAACGACGCGCGTCCATACCGGGTTTTAGTGTGAAAATTAAATTTAATTCAGGTTCAATAGCATTGCCGTCTGAGTCAATTGTTGAATTGTCTTTCAAAACATCTTTCATCATCTCATATGATCGTGCAAAGACGTTATGATGTCGTAACGTGTTGTCAATAGCTTTCAAAAGGTCTACCTCACAATTAATATTTCGTGCAGATCTACACTCAGCTGCTTCATTAGTATCTACAATAAATAATTGTCCATAACTGGGAGATTCATTTGGAGATGGATACAATGATGTATTTACTTGATAATAGATTTGGCCTTGGATTTTAAAGCAATATGGGCCACGTCTTTGGGATGACAAATTAGTCAAATTAGCATTGAAAGAAGCGAAAGAGAATGAATTGTTATAATTTCGAATACAGTCAAAGAAATTCTTAGACTTCACATGAGTTCCTGAAAACAATGTTTTTAATAATTCTGGAGGATCTTGTTGAAGGCCTAAGTTTACTTCACCATGTCGACAACAGTCATTGAAAGAATCATATTTATTAGCAACTTTTTCAGCAGTAAAATGTTTTGCAGTACAATGCCGACACTTTACAATCATTTTACCTATGTAATGTTCTGAACTTGTATCTATATTGGCTACATTATTTACGTTTATTTGATCTGAAGGTTCATTATGATTGGAATTTTCGTTTACTGAAGCGGCACTGGAAGAAAACGTATTGTTTATTATGCTGTGATGCTGTAAATGATTATGTGATATCGTTGAATCTAAAACCAATGGACGGGAATAATCATGGTCAGTGAGTTGATGTTGAGATTGCGAATACGTAAAGGATGATGTATCATTCTGTTGAGAAGGGACATTAGATGTAATACAGTTTAGGATTGAAGGATAACAATAGTTATGATCGGAGTATGATGATAATAAAGAATCATTTCTTGTACAAGAGGTTTCTAATCTTACAGGAAGAATTGAAGATAAATCAGACGAATGCATACAGCCAGAGTTTTCACTTTCAAATTCTGCGATTCTGGATGTTGATGTATTTTTCGACGTTGATGGAACATTCTGAATATTATTTATAATATCATAAGCAGTGGAATTCAAGGGAGAGCATGTATTTTCAGATGTTGCAACATTTTGCACAATATCATCAATATTTTGCGAATTCAAAGTATTCATATTAGATACGCCGTTATGACAATGTAATTTTTTCTCTTGCATATTACGTTTGTTATACCTGCTTGTTTTTCTTTTCTCATTACGTGATCTTTTAATGTCTTCTTCTTCGGCTGGCGTTCGTTCAATTTTTCTTCGACCCATCGTCACTTAAAAGTTGAAAACAATGAAAAAAACTATTATTTGTAGAATTACTTAGAAATAAAATAATCCTTAGTAACTACAAAATTAATAAATGAAGATGAAAGGAATCAAGCGTTATTGAGTTATATGAATTTTATTGATTATAAAATTTAATTTCACGTAATAAAATACAAACATATGAATATTTAGAAAGAAGTAATTGATTTAAATTAAATAATACATTTACCTAATTAGCAAAAAATATCATAATAGTTTCCGATAATTAGAATGAAGCATATGCTTAACATGAAGTATATACTTTAGTGTTCATATTAAACTTATAATAAAAAATTAATATTTAAAATTCTTTTTACAAATTTTTGTTATTGCTTACTTACAATATTATCAAAAAATTTCTATAATATATTTAATTCAAGTTAGTTATTTTATATTGTATTCAAAGTTTTGGTCTTATTTTGATTTTATTATATCCGGTTTTTTATCTTATTCTAGTGTTGTTTAGTTTTGTAATTGTTTTTTTGTCATTAATTGGTCAATTCATTTGGTTTTCATTAATATTTCTGTATTTATATATTTTTTGTAGTATTCATATTGTTGTGTAGTATTTTTGTTATTAATTTTTAGTTTACTAATTACTGTGTTACTGCTACCGTTGAGTTATAAATACAGGAGATAGACTACAGATTTATAACTTAACTGAGATGCGTAGAAAATAGCAATAACAACAGTAATAGCAACTATAATAGTTATAGTTATAGTAATAGTTATCGTTATAGTTATAATGAAAGTTATAGTTATAGTTTTATTAATAGTGTTAGGTATGTATCAGTTTTTTTTTTATTATAAACGCACTAAGACTATTTCACATGGCATCACTGAACCCCATACAGATTATGGAGATGATATAACGTCGCAAATTATTATTATTATTCCTGTATGATCCTTTTTGAAATTAAGCTTCAAAAATTTGCCTTAAGATTGTTTATGACAATTCATCAGTTCACGTCGTTTGAGGAAGTCGTCATATCTTGCTATTAATTGGCTTTAGTTTATTTTACTATGCCCACCTGAAAGTAAAAAAAATATAATTGTACAAATAGAAATCAAAGTACTGCAAAGAAAAAAATTACAAACAGGTATACAAAAAGAAGAATTACAATATACTCACATGTATTTGACCAATTAACCTCTAATTAATTTATCACCTCCAAATGGATGCACAATCGCGTTTCGTGATTAATAACGAATTAAAATATTATATTAAGCAATATATAATACAAAATCACAATTCAGTAACGTAAATAATAATACTACTAATAGTATAGTAATACTACTTAATATTTTAAGCAGAATAGGCTTAAATTTAGCAAATGATAATTTTATTTTGCTGATTTATTATTACTTTTAATACTTATAATAAAATAGGTATAAATGCAATATGCACAAGGGTATTATCGAAGACGTAAAATTATAAAGAATTACTATTTTTAATTCTTATCAAATAGATATAAAGGCAGTATGCACAATCGTATTGTTAAAGACATGAAATTATAAAGAAATTTAGCAACTGAGCGTGTTTAGCTGATTTATTGCTTGATGATCGGACAGATTGAAGTGACATCTAACAAAAGACATGGAAACATGTAATAAATAAAATTACATATAACTGTGAAATAATATTTTCGTATATTTTAACGTGTAGTCGTTTAAGGTTTCTACGCTACGGTTAAATTATATTTGCAAGATTAATTAAAAATTAGTAATATTTATTCACTTCCTTTATTCCAAATATAATAGCGTTTCATTAGCATCAATCAGATCACTCAGGTCACATTATATATTCAATAATAATCATAATAAATTGCGCAATCACGCCACAGCTATGGCGTTTGAAAAGGCGGGAAATTTCAAGTGCGAGCGAACGCGTGCGTTGGAAAGAGTGAGAGGGTTTCCTGCTCCGTTGAATATCACTCTCTAGTCGGATTGGTTAAACTTCTGGCCGCTGGCAGCAGAACCGCTACAAGCGCTGCCATTGGGTTATTAAGTATTGAAATTAACCCGCGTTTTTGATATCTCAGAGGTAAGTATAAGATTCAAATACGCGACTTGATTTTTCTAATAAATGTAATTACTAAATAAATTATACTATTTAATCTAAATAATTTTATGGTTAATAAAGGAAAACATTATATTAATTATTAAGAAACACATATTATATTTATTATCAAACACAAATTATATTATATATCAGACTTTAATTTTCTACCAATTAAACATCATCATTCCTTAAATAATGTTAATGTCATACATTCTAATATTTATCGTCAAGTATCACAATTGTTTTTGGATTATAATTATAATTATAGTTTACGAACTCAAATGTTTAGCGAAACACTTTCAAGAATAATACTGAAGAACTAATATCATTAGATGACCTATCATTAATACAATATAATTAGAATCTATCAGTATAATTAGTTAACAATTATAGTTATACTTATACATTACATTAAAATTTATCATTTCTCGCTTTATGAAAATAATTGTGACTTTAGAGACTTGATTTAAAAAAAAATTGGCAATAGTCTGATAAGTATTAAAACATATTTTTAAATAATTCACTTCACTACGATTATGTAACTTGAAATACAACACTACAGGGTGTCAGTGCAAAGTAAAAAAAAATTATTACTATTATAAAACTCAAAATACAACACTATAGAGTGCCACTGTAAAATAGAAAAGAAGTAGATAAAAATGAAGAAATAAACCATAGAATTATATAGTTTTGAAAGTAAAATAAACTTGTCATCGTATAATTACTATACTATCAATGACTAAAATAATAAAAGATAATTTAAAATATTAAAGTCTCATTTTTAAATTAAGTAAAAGAGACCGGTAAACGCTTAGACACATTTTTATCCAGAAGGAGCAACCTTTTTTGAGACTCCTCCTTGATCTTCATCAGAGCCTCTTTTAGGTGTAACGAATCCCGATTTCTGAAGCTCGGCTGCAGTCATGGCAGGTTTGCCTGGTGCAATAACAATGTCATCACTGTTGCGTACCATCAGATAAGAGTTTCCTTCTGTAATAAAAAAAAAGAAAAACAAAATAATGAGCATTTCATTCGTCGTCTAAAAAGATTTTACAAGCATTTATTATCGAATATTAAATTTCTTATAACTTTCGTTAAAAAATTTTCCTAATAGATCAATATTTTCATCGTAATATCAATTTACTATAAGTTAAATAATAATAGAAAATAATTAATACGTACTTGTATCAACTGAGCTCTGACACAATACTTTAACATACACGCCTTTAACCAGTAATGGATTTGCCACGTAGTTTGCAATTTGTACTCGCAGCCGATAATTACCGTCGATGATTACACCACTACCATGTGTACTACCGTATAATGTAACCGGGCCGAATGGAAGTTTCACCCATGCTAGGACATCTAAGAAAACATAAAGAGGATCAAATTAATAACATTATTCGTTGAAATTATAAAATTATTTTATCGATAGTGTTAATACTTACACATCTTTTTCGTATAATTGGGTGCGTCGATCAAACGTACTACTTCAGGTGAAGCATCGTCGACAACCTCATCAAAAATGTCTCCCGAGATGTTCACCACAGAAGAATTGTTAAGAGTCAACTCCAAGGGCCCAATAGCTTCATACGGGTTATTAAAAGTGGGATTTCCTGGAGTTGTTTTTGCCCGTTCAATTCCAATAACCTATAAAGTCAATCATAATAATAATGAAGCTAAATTTCCAAGTTAAAGAATAAAATTAAAAAATTTTAAGAATTTGCGAGGTCATCATTTTTAAATTGACAAAAAAATTAATGAATCACAGAGAAAGTTACAAAGCCTAACTGATAATTACTTTTCTTCTTTCGACTGTAATTTTTTTTATTTTCATTTCATTTTAGTTTTGTTTAAAATTTTTTTTCGACTTTGATTTTTTGTTTTTAATCAATAACTTTGATTTTTTTTAAATATCAATTTTTCTTTATAAAAATCAATAATTTCAGTTTTTTTTTCTATAATAATTTTAATTTGATTTTTTTAAGAACTAAAATTTTTTTATTCACTCATGAATAAAAAAAAATCTCCCACAAAACTATTAGTACAATGCATAATTCTAATTTTCCTATTTCTATTGTGGATTTTTCTTTTTTTCATTTGATTTTAATTTTTAATTGACTTAAATTTGTTTTTAATCAATGATTTTGATTTTTTTAAATATTAATTTCAATTTTTTCTTTTTTGATCAATTTGCATTTTTTTTTATTAATTTTAATTTTTTTTAATTATTTAACTTAAATTTGTTTTTAATCAATATTTTTGATTTTTTTAAATATTGATTTCAATTTTTCTTTTTTTTTAATCAATAATTTGTATTTTTTATTTTTTAAAAATAATTTTTATTAGTTTCTTAAATTTTTATTCGACTTAAATTTTTTGTTTTCGATCGATAATTAAAATTCTATGGTTAAATTAATAATTTACTTCAGACTAAAAAAATCGACTGAAAAACTATTATTACAATTTATAATTCTAATTACTAATTTTTAATAAAAAAAATTGAAAATAAGATTATGTACTATTAAATATTAAAACTTACCGATCGGTCACGAATGCTGGCTGAATGGACAGTGGCCATTTGTCCCCAGAAAAGGACGCGCACCTTGCTGGAACTTCCATTGCTTACGATGATTTTATACAGCGATGTCATCTCTGTGCTTCCTTTTGATACCGGCACTCTTTTGGTGCCTTCAATCTTGTCGACAAATCCTTTCAATTCTCTGAAATCATCGCATATAAATGAAATACGATCGAGAAATCTTATAATGCATGCATTAAATTGTCTATTCATTTAGTTATTATTAACAAATACATAGCAAAAGACTGATATTTTTTCGAATTCTTTTCAATAAATGAATAGGTATAAGCGAATTATTAAACATTTTGCACGTGTAGCAACGGAAAAAAAATTAGAAATGCAATTTGGTAATAACTACCCACTATCAAAATAATTAAAAATATTATTTTTATTTATTTGATTTAATATTTTTAAAGTAATACTTACACAGTAGGGTCATTCGTAACCCAATTAGCTATTTCTTCATCACACGTAAATCCGTCTAACATCGCCTGTCTGTTAACGGCAGCCATTTTAAATTTTTGCACAAAATCACGAGCTACGTCCTGCCTGCTAGAAGTCCGGATCGGAAAGAACGCTAGTAGCATGTTGAGCGGCAAATTGGGTGTAGGGAAAATAGTGGGGGTATGGAGACTATTACAAATATTACAATTACATAATATATATTACATTAGATACTACTGCCCCCTGTAAGTGCATGTTTTAACAATTTGTATTTGTTGTTTGGGAATAAGGATAGTAATAATAGTAATAACACAATTGAATGTTTAATAAAGGTGCAATTTGATCTATTTGGCCTAATTCAATTTTACTTGGGTTTGACCTACTTTTTTCCTTTTTTCAACGTTATGCAACGTCAAATTAGGTTCTATAAATTATGAGAACGGCGTAAGATGACACAGGAAAAAACCTGTCATTTTATGAGACCAAAAAAAACTTTCAGGGCATGAAAAAACCTGATTTTTTGGGACTAAATCAATTGTACTTAGATTTGACCTTCTTTTTAGGTTTTTAAGGGTTATGCAAGGTCGAAAGTGGTTTTATAAATATTAAGAGGAGCAGAAAATGACCCAGGAGGTTTTCTGGAATTTTTGAGGTCCATAGAAAAATTTTAAGGCATTAAGAAACATGATTTTTCGGGCCTCAATCAATTGTACTTAGTTTTGACGTACTTTTATTAATTTTTCAATGTCATGGAAGGTCCAAATAGGTTCCATAAAAATTGAGAGAAGAGGAGGGAGACACAGGAGGTTCTCCGTAATTTTTAGGGTCTATAAAAAAATTTTAAGGACTTAAGAAAAATTATTTGTTGGGCCTCAATGAATCGTACTTAGTTTTGACATACCCTTATTAATTTTTCAAAGACGTCCACGGTCAAAATAGGTTCTATAAATGTTGAGAGGGCCGTAAGTTGACACAGAGAGTACCCTCTAATTTCATAAGACGAAAAAAAACTTTAGGGCATGAAAAAACCTGATTTATTGGCACTGAATCAATTGTATTTGAGTTTGACCTACTTTATTATGTTTTTCATGGTTACGCAAGGTCAAAATAGGATTTATAAACATAAGGAGGTGCAGAAGTTGACACAGGAGATGCCATTTAGTTTTTGAGGCCCATCAAAGAATTTTAGGGCATGGAAAAACCTAATTTTTTGGCCCTAAATCATTTTTATTTGGGTTTGACCTATTTTTGTGTGTCGTTCAACGTTATGCAAGGTCAAAATAGGTTCTATCAATAGTAAGAGGGGCGTCAGATGACACAGGGAGTACCTTGTCATTTTATAAGACCAAAACAAAATTTTAGGGCATAAAAGACCTGATTTTTTGGGACTAAATCAGTTGTACTTAGTTTTGACCTACTTTTATTAATTTTTCAAGGCCATACAAGGTTAAAATTGGTTCCATAAATATTGAGAGGGGCATAGAAAGTCACAGCAGTTTTCCTGAAATTTTAAAGGTCCAGAAAAAAATTTTAAGCCATCAAGAAACATTATTTTCTGGGCATCAATAAATTGTACTTAGTTTGCACATTAATTATTAATTTTTCAAGGTCTTCCAAGGTCAAAATAGGTTCTATAAATATTAAGATGGAAGAAAGATGTCAAAAGAGGTTTCCTGTAGTGTTTGAGCGTCATAAAAGGATTTTAGGGCATGACAAAACCTGATTTTTTAGGCCTAAATCAATTGTCCTTGGGTTTCACCTTCGTTTTAAAATTTTTCAAGGTTATGCAAAGTCAAAATAAGTTTTATAAATTTTGACCGGCGAGAAAGATAGCACAGGATAGATAGATAGATAGATAGAATAATTTATTTATGCCAAAGTTAGTACCAGATGGCAATTTTTACATATATATACAAGAAGATTACAAGAAATTCTTAATGCATACAAATATAATTAAAAATAAATTTAATATAATTAAAACTAGTTAAATTAAATTTACAAAAGAAGAATAATATAATTAATAAATAACAAGAATATTAAAAAAGAAAAAATACAACAATTTTGATTTTTGATTTTGCGGATATTAAGAAATATGACAGAGATTTATCGATTTAGCTAATAAAAACAATAAACAACAACTATAATTAAATGTCCAGGTTAAATAAATGATCAAATATTTTATTTTTAAAGCTCTCTAGACTAGTTGACTCTATTATGGTTGCTGGCAATTCCTCCCACAATCGAAGAGCAGTTACAATAAATTGCGATTCATATTGTGTGGTCGAAAAAAAAATTTAAGGTCTAAAAAAAAATTTAGGGTTTATAAAAAAATTTTAAGGACTTAAGAAAAATTATTTGTTGGGCCTCAATGAATCGTACTTAGTTTTGACATACCCTTATTAATTTTTCAAAGACGTCCACGGTCAAAATAGGTTCTATAAATATTAAGAGGGCCGTAAGTTGACAAAGAGAGTACCCTGTAATTATATAAGGCAAAAAAAAATTTTAGGGCATAAAAAAACCTGATTTTTTGGGACTAAATCAATTGTACTTGGGTTTGACCTACTTTATTATGTTTTTCATGGTTACACAAGGTCAAAATAGGTTCTGTAAATATTAAAAGGGGCAAAAGATGACACAGGAGGTGCCCTGTAATTTTTAAGGGCCATAAAAAAATTTTGAGTCATAAAGAAATCTGATTTTTAGGGCCGATATCAATTGGTTTTAATTTTGAAATACTTTTATTAATTTTTCAAGGCCAAACATGGTTAAAATGCGTTCCATATACATCGAGAGGGTCGAAGAAAGATAGAGGAGGTTCCCTGTAATTTTTGAGGGCCAAAATAAAATTTTCAGGTATCAAGAAACATCATTTTTCGGGCCTCAATCAATTGGACTTAGTTTAAACCTACTTTTATTAATTTTTCTAAGTCATACGAGGTCACAATAGCTTTCATAAATTTTGAGAGGGGCAGAGAAAGACACAGAAGGTTCTCTGTAATTTTTATGGGCCATAAAATAATTTTAAGTCATCAAGAAACATTATTTTTTGGGCATTAATCAATTCTACTTAATTTGGACATACTATTATTAATTTTTCAATGTCTTCCACCGTCAAAATTGGTTCTATAAATATTGAGATGGGAGAAAGATGACACCGGAGGTTCTCTGTTGTTTTTAAGGGCCATAAAAGAATTTTAGGTCATGAAAAAACCTGACTTCATGCGCCTAACTCTATTTTACTTGGGATTGACGTACTTTATTCCTGTTTTTCAACGTTAGGCAAGGTCAAAATAGGTTCTATAAATAATGAGAGGGGCGTCAGATGACACAGAGAGTGACATGTTATTTTATGAGATCAAAAAGAGATTTTAGGGCATGAAAAATCCTGATTTTTTGGGACTAAATCAATTGTACTTAGGTTTGAACTACTTTTTTATGTTTTTCAAGGTTATACAAGGTCAAAAGTGGTTTTATAAATTTATTGAGGTGCGGAAAATGACACAGGAGGTTCCCTGTTATTTTTGAGGACCATAAAAAAATTTTAAGGCATCAAGAAACATGATTTTTTGGGCACTAATCAATTGTACTTAGTTTTGACCTACTTTTATTAATTTTTCAAGGTCATAGAAGGTCAAAATAGATTCCATAGATATTCAGAGAAGCAAAGGGAGTTACAGGAGGCTCCTTGTTTTTTTTAGGAGCCATAAAACAAGTTTAAGGCATCAAGAAACATTATTTGTTGGGCCTCAATCAATTGTACTTAGTTTAGACATACTTTTATTAATTTTTCAAAATCGTCCACGGTCAAAATAGGTTCTATAAATATTGAGTGGGCCGTAAGTTGACACAGAGAGTACCCTGTAATTTTATAAGAGAAAAAAAAATTTTAGGGCATTATAAAACCTGATTTTTTGGGACTAAATCAATTGTACTTGGGTTTGACATACTTTATTATGTTTTTCATGGTTACGCAAGGTCAAAATAGGATCTATTAATATAAGGAGGTGCGGAAGATGACACAGGAGGTGCCATGTAGTTTTTGAGGGCCATAAAATAATTTTAGGGCATGGAAAATCGGGATTTTTTGGGCCTAAATCATTTTTACTTCGGTTTGAAATAATTTTTTGTGTTTTTTTAACGGGACACAAGGTCAAAATAGGTTCTATAAATAATAAAAGGGGCGCCAGATAACTCAGGGAGTACCCTGTTATTTTATGAGACCAAAAAAAAGTTTTATGTCATAAAAGACCTGATTTTTTGGGCCTAAATCAATTTTACTTGGGTACGACCTAGTTTTTTTCTGTTTTCCAACGTTATGCAAGGTCAAAATACGTTCTATAATCATCGAGAGGGGTGGGAGATGACAAACGAGGTGCCTTTCAGTTTTTAACGGCCATAAAAGAATTTTAGGGCATGAAAAAACGGGATTTTTTGGGCCTAAATCATTATTACTTCGGTTTGAAATAATTTTTTGTGTTTTTTAACGGGACACAAGGTCAAAATAGGTTCTACAAATAATAAGAGCGGCGTCTGATAACTCAGGGAGTACCCCGTTATTTTATGAGACCAATAAAAAGTTTTAGGTCATAAAAGACCTGATTTTTTGGGCCTAAATCAATTTTACGCTGGTTTGACCTACTTTTTTATGTTTTTCAATGTTATGCAGGGTCAAAAGAGGTTCTAGAAATATTAAGACGGGCGGAGGATGACACAGGAGCTTCCCTGTAATTTTTAAAAGCCATAAAAAAATTTCGAGTCATGAAGAAATCGGATTTTTAGGGCCGATATCAATTGTTTTTAATTTTGATATCTTTTTATTAATTTTTCAAGCTCGTACACGGTCAAAATAGTTTTAATAAATATTAAGAGCGACGGAGGTTGTCTTAAGACGTACGCTGTGATTTTTAAGGACAATAAAAAATTCGAGGGCATAAATAAACCTGATTTTTTTGGCCTTAATCCATAAAACTTGCGTTTCACCTACTTTGATAAAATTTCCAATGTCATATACGGTCAGAATGGGTTGTTCTATCATTCAAAGGGACGGAGGATAACTCAGGAAGTACCCTATAATTTTAGAAGATCAAAAACTAATTTAAGGGCATGAAAAAACCAGATTATATTTGCCTCAATCAATTGT